AGGTTTTTCACTGAATGTTGATCATTACTCTAGAGCACAAACTTCTTGTGTTTATTTGAACTTTGGAGGTATGACTGCAGAGTGACACAGACACACCACCGCACAAGCATGCATGCTCACGGTGCTGTCGGCAATGCGTGTAGGCTACGGCGTAGGGTCTACTGCACAAGCATAAATCCCGCTAAGAGACAACCAACACAAAAACATACAGTTAATTTCATCACAGATCACACTCTGCCTTTTTATTTACTCCTTCACTTAATATGTTTTTTTCTCCTTTAAAATTTAATGTCTATGCATTTGTAATAATACATTGTTGTTAGTTGTTTTTGAATTTCCACTGTCTTAAATTGTAATTGTGCTTTGGCAACACATAAGAAAACACACACACTAATGCTTTTAATAACTTTTAACCCACACCTTTTAAGGTTGTGTGTACAGTGTATTTTAGTGTACTGATACTGCCATTTATGAACTTGTTGTTTGTCTGTCACTGTTTTGTGTGAAGTGTTTGTCTTTTTGTCAGTACCAAAGAAGATTTTCCATCTCATGTAAATTAAATGGACGATAAAGTTTTCTGAGTCTGAGTCTGAAGAAATGTTATGCCAATAAAGCTTATTGAATTGAACAGAGCAACAGCATAATGCACATTTCTATACAATCCAGTACTGTGCAGTACAGGAGCTATAATCTTTTGCCGTCTGTGTACAAACTGCTTGCATACAGGTGCATGATACACTTAAGACACTAACATCCTATCGTGACATGTATGAAAATGCTGAGCAGGCCCACATTACTCTGATTTTGGATCACAAGAAAGTCAACATCTAAGCGACCTGTCCCAAAGTCAAACACATGTTTGAGAGATCAGCAGTGCAAAAGCATGGTGGTCTATAGAGGTGTGAAATAGAAGGGATATTATGAGTCATTTCTCAGGTGTGGGTGGGTGCAAGTGACGAACACCAAGAGAGCAGATGAGGTGTAAATGCTTGACCCCCACAGTGAGGGGTAGGGCTGCATTTTCCTGGAATGGTTTGAATCCACTTATCTCCAGAAAGAGGAGGGGTCACTACAAATCCATCCAAAGTTACTCTCTTAATTCGTTAGTTACACTCTGCCTAATCAACTTTATGCTTTGGTGAAACATCTGAGCATCTGAGACGTCTGTTCCAAGATGACAATAACAGCATGATCTGTTGCAAAATGAGCAGTGATGATGATGAACCATGATGCATGATGCATGAATCATATGCTGTCACCTTCACGGTGACTAAGTGAGGCCTCACGAGACATTTCAAATTGACGTATTAGACAACGCTTTTCTGTTTCGGAGGCTTGTGGTGGCACAACACCTCACAGAGACACGTTTGTAAATGCAGGAAACCTTGGCCTGTTTCACTCAGCTTTGTCAAGTTTGAACTTAAAGGTTCAGTGTGTAGTATTCAGGGGGATATATTGGCAGTAATAGAATATCATATAATGTTTCCTTTAGTGTATAATCATTTAAAATTAAGAATCATTATGGTTTCTTCACCTTAGAATGATCTGTTTATATCTACGTAAGGAGCAGGTCCTCATCAATTGAGTCCTGCATGTTGCAACCATCCAAACACTGGCTTTAGATAGGGCCATTTGTGTTTTTGCGCCACCCACCATAGTTAGCAGGCCTTCTGCAACGAGCAGCATCGGACAAACACTGCTTTGTAACATGAAACTGCTTTATTCAGTGTTTTTACGTGTTTGAATCACTGGATCTGTTTGTTTTGGAGAGCAGGAAACCTCTCTGGGTAATTCAACTCCCAATAAAAACCCGAAAAAAAAACCCCTTTAACGGGGAAAAAAAAACGGTAGAAACCTCAGGAAGAGCAACTGAGGAGGGATCCCTCTTCCAGGACGGACAGACGTGCAATAGATGTCGTACAGAACAGATCAGCATAATAAATTAACAGTAATCCGTATGACACAATGAGACAGAGAGAGAGAGAGAGAGAGAGAGAGAGAGAGATGCAGGTAATGACAGTAGCTTACAACAACATTAATGAAAGTAATAATATTATAGTTATAGTTCTGGCTACTGTGGTACAATATGTTGAAAGTATGTATTAATATCTGACAGTATACTATATGCAACTAAATCCTACACACTGTTCCTTTAAGACATAAATATACCCTGCTAACTTGTGCATCATTTCTCAACACCTGCCTTGTTGAAAAACCCAGAATCTACATTTATGCAAATTAATGTTAAATTTAAATTCTAACCACTGGACCATGATGTCTCCCACTACACTCAAAAGTCCTTCCTCACTATGGAAAGCTGCATTTTGGAACCCAATCTTTTTACAAACTAGCTGTGAAACATCACATTGCACAGTGAAGTAACAATAAACACTTGTTTAGGTGGAGGGGGATTTTAAATGTTACAAAAATGGAACAGATAACATCTTCCTGTTGCTCTCTACTTCCTCCTTGAGACGTTCTTGTCATGCATACCACTTTTTATTTTGTCATCTGATGTGTTACTAGTCAGAATACTACAGAATGAACACATCCACTGAATAACCACACGGTTTACGGCAGCTGCCTAACTTGCTCTGATTACAATAAATACAGTCATTATAGCTAAACAGTTCAAACAGGATCAAGAAAATATAGGAGTGAATGCAAACCAATTTTAATCTGCTCACAAAATTTCCTTTATTTTTGTCGTTTGTGTTTTGATGAATGCATAGAAAATGATAACGCTCCACATATATATGCAGCACCCACACATATTAACTTGAGTGAATCATAACAGTATATCTAAATGCGTAGTGCAGATGGGACATCTGTCCATATGGTTTAACTGATACCATAAAAATGAGAATATAACAAACCCCTGGGAGGAAAAAAACAGCAACACAAAATTTCACAGTGTATTGTAGACTCTCAATGAACTTCGCAGACTGCCAATGTAAGGAGTGACCAGAAGATGACTGCTATAAAAAAATGGGACAGGGCACAGACATCATTATCATCATAGCGGGTAACATAGCATGCTTTATAAACAGTGTGCTTCTTCTTCTTCTTTTTTTTATAAAACAGTACAATACAAAACAGTTTCCAGACACAATGGTTTCCATATCTACAGGATAAATTCAGTAAAGGACAATGAAAATTATCAGCAGTTTACATTTCTAAAATGCAGACAGAAACTGATTCACAGTTTGTTATTAATTATTCTATTGTGTGAGCTTAACATGTTGTGCAGTGTGTATGTGGATGAACACAAACGCTAAATGAAGTAAATGGGACTCTTCATTCTGTTACACCTGCAGAAGGGGGGAGTGGTTTGCTGTGTGATTACAGTTAGTGTCATTTAAGTTGAAACTCATTTTCACCTTCAGTTTAACTGGATCAGGTCAGCCTTCCAAGACTTCACAGCTGTCTTTGGGGAAAATGAAAAAGGTTTCTTACTTTTAAATCTAAAGGTCGGAGAAGTCAAATTCTCTCACCCTTTTAATCAATAGCGCAGAATTCAGTACCATCTCGAGCCAACAGGGGGCAGCAGAGCAACACTGTTAGACCTGCAGCAGTTGAGCAGTCAGGTAGGGTGATATTAGTTCCCAAGTACTAACCCACGGTTCAAGAGACAAACCTCAAGGATAGAATAATATCAGCTGTTCACCTGTTCTCTCACTCTCTCCAAATTACATCTGAAGTCATGAAGGAAACTGGATTTAATGGCCCCAGTTTCTGGTTTTTATAAATTATTAAAACGACTACACATTGCCTTGCAAGGCCCAACACTTACACATTTGCATTTACAGTACGCGCCATGAATACCAGCTCAGGTTAAAGTTACAATCTCAAAGATCTCCGCTTAGATCTCTGGTGGCACCTGTGGCGATAAGTGGTAACTGCAGTGTGTTTGTTGGCAGACTTTAAGCTTGAAACCAGGCTGGTGAATGTATTTATATCAGCTTGTTTTATGAGCTCTGCTGCTGGAGAGATGAAAGGGTTATCACAGCATAGATGGTGTGTGTGTGTGTGTGTGTGTGTGTGTGTGCATATATGTATGCATTGGTGTGTGGATGTATGTATGTTTCAAGGTGTGTAGAAGCAGATTAATGATGCCATTTGTAATTTTTCCTGGGAATGTCACCAGACACCCACTTTGTAGAACAGTGGAAAACTTTTATAATGATCACATCTGTCAGAAAAGTATTGTAACTCAAGTTTTTCCTTCATTTCTCATGCAGATTATCATCTTGTTGACATTTGTATATTAATTACTTGAATATAAAGTAATGAAACGGACAGCTTCACTACCAATATCAATCCACCTGATGAGGGTGGCTTCAACTACAGGTGTTTTCACTGTGTGTGCTCTTTTTCTGTCTCCATTTCTGGCAGCCATGACTGTTTCCTGTTGTTTGTGTAGACTACACAAGGTCACTTGAGGAACAAAATGTTTCGCTGCTGCATCTTGTTGGCTTGTTTTGGCAGTAAGCTTGGAGTCGAATTTTTCATTGAGAGAAAAATGACTCTTTTCCCTATCATGGTTTCAATGTGCACACAGCACCAGCTTCATGTTGCCATCCGGAAGCAGAGGGATCACCACGAGGCAAAGGATCATGGGAGTAAAGTAAAAAGTTTTTAAGAAATGGAATAACTGTGTTTTAAAAAACAAACATATGTTGACATGTATGACAAGAAAATGGACACCATAAGCAGACAACGTGATTACTGTAAGCAAATATTTCAACGGCATTTGTATAGGAGTGATTCTGTCCCAAGTTTTTTGATCACTATTGTAACTATGATCACTGTAACCGGCCTCCACTGTTCAATCATTGGGCAGCAGGCTCAGTCACCACTGTTACTTCATTTGGCGATAGATAGTGACTTAAAGGAAGACTTCACCTGCAAAATGACCATTTGTATATCAATTACTCGCTGCGTGTTACCTTGAATTTGTGATGCCATTTTTCTTGCATGCCTCCAAGGTGAACGGAGAATCCAAAAAAGGCGAACATTCTTCATGAATTGAAGTAATCAGGGTGTGTATTTAACAACAGCAAAACAACTGTGGTTATTTGGGGGGTCCGTTCCTGGTGGAGCGAAAGGTGTCGCTGAAGGCTGAGGACTCTTAAATCCTGGAGCCAACTCATTGGACCAAACCATGTGCTGCCATGTCATGGGGGGGATTTGGGTTTGGCTAGTTTTGCTTTGTATTTAGTTGAAGTTGCCGTCCATTTTTGTTACTTGTGTATTATTTGGTTTGGCCAAGCCACTACAAATGCTCAGTCAGGTCAGTTTGTTCGGTCAACACCTTGTTTAGTTATTATATTGAGTATAGTTATGTTATGGCGACCTCTTTTATGGGCCCAGTTGTTCATTTCTTGTTTTGTAATTTTTCATGCATTTTTTTGTTCAATAAAAATCCATGATTTTGTCAACAACTCCTGGGCGAGCTACTTGTTGGTGGAAGTGTTTATATAATGTAACATTTCAGCGAAAATGAATGTGTTTGGGAAGTACTGAGTATACAACTGGATAAATGAGACTTGGATTATACTGCAGCCTCAACCCGAACATAGGCCCTGGACAGTCTGCTCTCAACAGCAAGAGATTGGCAGGTCCTGGTTGATCTAGGTAGGCAGCTGAAGTTCCTGGACACCATCACAGCCACAACATTCAGGCTTGATATGGTCCTGATGTCTGTCCCCTGGGTAGACAGGATGGAGCATGCATCTCTGGTGGCAGAGTGTCGAAGGCAGGGATGGGAGGCCCACTGGCTGATGTCTACACTAGGTCCTGGGACTCTTAGGGATCCACGGACAGCAGCAACAAAGAGCTATCAAGAACATCTTGGAAGCCACTGAAAAGGCTTCCCGTTGGCTTTGGATTAAGAGGGGTGATGAGTGTCGGGGCCTGATCATCCCCGGCTGGATCGCCAGGATGAGGGTGTCTGAAGTTAAGACCTGAAACACCTGATGACCCCGGGTTCATCTTTGGATTCTCTGTCACCGAGGAGGCATGCAAGAAAGCTAACACGGTGAGTAATTAAAACACAAACGGTCATTTTGTGGTTGAAGTATTCTGTTAACAGACATTTACAAGTATTTAAATGCAAATCTGTGAGGTTATTACTTTAACGAACCAAAAACACTGACTTACATTCTATGTAGTAGAAATTGTATTCACATATATATGTATTTAAACAATTCGAAATCACCTTCATAACCACTTCTACTTAAACTTTTACAAAATGCTATACAGCTATCATAGGAGGCATATATAGTTCTAACTTAGCATCCAGCCCTTTGTATTATAGTGGCAATGTCCTGGACTTTCTCTCCTCTCTGGCTCAGTTTCATTATGACCTTTGTCGACAAGTTTCTTTCTCACATTTGCATTTCCCCCGCATGTCTCAAATACATCAAGGTCCTGAGGGGAACCCACTTAACACCTCCCCCCCTACTGCTCAGCCAATCCTCCCCATTGTCACTTACAGCCCAAAAAAGGCAAGTGAACTGAAACCTGATGTAAAACGACCCTTCCTGATTTGTAGCGTGGGCTCAGGCATCTGATGACATGAGCAGGTGAGACTGGATTTGGAAAAAGAGACTTTAACAGTGGAACTACAGTAGAGCAGAAAAAATGATCACTCAACAGTACTATAAACAACCACAAGGATTTCAATGTCAGTGATTACAAAATATATAATACATCTTATACAGTGTATATCCTACCTATACAGTATGAGCTAGTCAACTGTGGGATGAATGCACCCCAATTTACAAATAATACACCTTATTTAAAGTAAGAAGCCAACTCTGTACACGCCTTCGTCTTTTACACAGTTCGTTTCAGATCAGGGGGGTACGTCTTTTGCAGTGTGTGAATAAACAATGGTAAACTAGCGAAGGGTGCGTCTGCGTGAACTGATTTGTCACCACATGAATGTGCACTGGGTCCTCTAATTGTAGCTTATCCTGTAGAGTCCTGTTTAAAACAGCTTTGACCAACTTTTAGTGGTATCCAATGAGAAGCAGGTTCTCTCTACCACATTACATGGTGCTTTACGGTCAAATTGGCAGTGTTGCAGAGTCTCTTGGTGTCTAATGTATTCTGTACAAATCCACCATCAGAAAAAAAAGCAGAGCCTCTATATGTCTGTCACAATAGTGCTCTAAAGTCCTGACTGTAAATAAGTCTAAATATGCAGTATATAGCTGGAACTATTCAAATACATATTGGCAAGTCCTTGGCATTCACTGAGCACCACCCTGTTGTAATGTATTCATGAGTTTAGAGATAGAGAGCTTGAATCACCTCAGATGGAGCTGAGAGGTGACGTCCTTTAAAGATGAAGAGGACGGAGTTCCTTGTCGGGAAGAAGGACGGAGTTGGCAAAAGTTTTGTCGAGGTTAAAGACTGCTGGGACTGTGAGTGCTTTTGTTGCTTGGTCTTTTAACAGTCTATTCAAGATTCTGAGACATCTTTATACCTTTACAATCCACGTTTCCTCTGCACAATAATGTGAACACACAACAAAGCGATAGAAATGTATCAAATCCATGCAGATTTCATTTTTCCTCATATATACAGTAGCTTCAATAACAAAACCTTGTCTAGATAAAATGTCCTATAAATAACTGTATTTAATGTTCTGCGAGCACAAAGCTCCACTCCAGCGTCTCGTCCCTTTAGCTTGAGACTGCTTGTAAACAGAATCAGTGGAAGAATATTAATGAGAGGAACAGATCCGAATAATCAAATCATTTTCATGTTGAACTTGCGTGCCCCACCCTGTCCTCCGCTGGCAGCGGGTCCATCCACCTTTCTGAAGGAATACTCCACTGAAAAATTGTTCTTGTGCTGCCCTCTTCCTCGACTCCACACAAACAGCAGAATGAAACAGAAGAGAACTACCCCCAGGAACATGATACAGCCCATAGCTGTGGATATGAGGATGGTTTTGAGGTCCAGAGTAAACTTCAGGAAGACTCTGGTGTCATTCAGATTTGTGTCATTAAGGTCCCCAGCATAGTATGTGCGGTTGGCCATTAGGGCTGCATCTAGTGGCAGCCCGCTAACTGTAAGTGTGGCAAAATAGGTGTCATTTCCACCAGCATTGCTGGCTATGCAGATGTAGGTTCCACTGTCTGTCACCTGAGCGTACCGAATTTCTAACGTGCCCTCTGGTAACACAGTCAGGCGTCCGCTGCTCTTTGTGGTGATGCGGCGGCGTTGAGGAGAGATCCAGAATATAACTGGTGTCGGCTCGCCTTCTGCTCTGCAAATGAATGACACAACCTGCCCCTCGCGGGCTGATACCTGCTGCAGTTTCCTGTTGCGGATTTTGGGCTTCTGGCAGGTAAAGTGATCAAAGAGAGCTGAGTCAGAGAAAGCGTTAAGAGCTCGTCCCTGCACCTCCACCGGCGTCATGCACACTGGGGAGGCACCGTCAAAATTGAGGGTCTTCCTGCGCTGTAGGATCCATAGCAAGCGGCAGTCGCAGGCCAGAGGGTTCCCATCCAAGCGCAGCATCTCCAGAGTGTTGACAGACTGAAAGGCTCCCTCTTCCAGGGACACCAGGCTGTTAGTGGAGAGGTTAAGGAGGCGGATTTGTCTTAGACCACCCAGCGCATATGGCTGCACTACCATCAGGTTTGTGTTGACCAGGTGCAGCTCCTTCAGCCTGACAAGGTCCCGCAGCGCCCAGGACTCCAGCACAGAGATAGGGTTGTAGGACAGGTTGAGGCTTGTGAGGTGAGCCAGACTGCGTAGGGCAGAGGTGGGCACAGAGGTGATGTTAGTGTGGGTGATAGACAGCCAAGACAAGTTAAGACCCTGCAGGCTGTGAGGGGAAATGTGCTCCAAAAAGGGCCAGTGGTCGATCTCGAGGCCCCTCAGGTTCCCCAGCTTACGGAAGTTCTGGTCCTCTAAAGCAGAGATACTGAGGTAGCGGAGCCGCAGAGTCACCAGGTTATGCAGGTAGGACAAAGACTGGCTGGACACAGACGTCAGATTGCACCTCTCGATGGTCAGCTCCTTCAGCCCCACTAAACCCAAAAAAGCCTTGTTGGAAATATAAACTAGATCATTGTCTCCAACCTCAAGGTTTTTCAGACTTTTTAAGTCTTGGAAAGTAAAGTCCAAAAGAATTACAATCTTATTCCCACTGAGGTCCAATGTTGTTAGGTTGGAGAGACGAGAAAAAGCCCCCATGGGGACCAGTTTTAATTGGTTACCCCTCAGTGAAAGTAACTGCAGGTTCTGGAGACTAGAAAAGGCGTTCGGTTCCAGGACACTGATCATGTTCTCGCTCAGGTCCAGCTTCTCAAGACGTGAGTATGGAAGCATGTCCCCGTGCTCTACCCAGCGAAGTTTATTCCCACTCAGGTCCAGGATCTTGGTGTCCAGCGGGATGCCATCTGGGAGGGCGGACAGGCGTTTACCGTAACAGGAAACAGTCTTGTGTTTTGCAATGCACTCACAACGCTGGGGACAACCTTGCCCCTGGGTGGGTGACACTGTGATCATCAGTAGCAAGAACAGGAAAGGCGGGAGCCAGCCTATATCCTGGCCCAGGCTCGCCCCCATGGCCCTGCTTTCCACTGCTTCCCCCTGCTCCTGAATCACTGGGCCAGACACCTGAGGAGAGAGAAAGAAGGAAGAAGAGGAGGAAAGGGGGAGGACGTGGGAGGCCAGAAAGAATCAGAGGGGGAGACAAAGAGACAGACAGTGAGACAAATTAATTAAACTCAATTCCCCTTCTACAGCAGCTATCAAACACTCTAAATGAGTGGAATTACTATTATAAACTCTAATTGACCCGGCGCAGCAGTGAAATTAAAGCTAGAGCTCCAAGATAATCCTCAAAGGACTGAGTCTGTATTCAGTTAAAACAGTTTGATTAACAATGGGCGACTGTGCCTCGCGAGCAGGTTTTAAAATCATATGCCAGTACACAAACACACACAACGAAAAAAAAATCCCCTAATAGCTATGAGTCAATTTTATATCTGATGGTTGTTTTGCTCTCCAGCTAGTTCATGCATTGTAAATGAAAACAGGGAAATGGGGAAATTGAAAATCTATTGTATTCACAAGTCCTCATGTGAGACATCTTAAAATGCATGAAAAAGGAAAACAATTGCAGCCTCTCGAAAGCCTTTAACGGCTAATAGCGCTGCAAAACGTGCCCAAATGGTCTATTTATACAGAATATTGAAAAATAAACTCAACCTGCATGCAAACAGGCTGAATTAAATATGAACATAGCTCTAAACAATCCAATCTGGATCATATAGCACAGTATGTCCAGCCACGGTGTCTGTGACTAAATGCCCAACAAGGTCACTCTCCATAGCAGAAGGTTACGACTCAGTGCATCACAATAGCTCAGTCCATCACATCATCTGCATAAGTCTCTGAGGCATGAGGCTTATCATGAGAGGAGCCTGACCTGCCTATGGGTTTCATATGACACACGGACATACGCACACATGCACAATTCCACCCCTCCGTCTGCTGGTGGATGCTGGCAGCAGAGCGGTAATCCCTTTATAAACCCATTGTCAAATACCAGCCAGTGGGATGGAAAGTAACTCCAGGAAACATATTCCATAACGTCGTCATTATTGAGTGCTGAGGCTGACGGTGTGTTAAAACATACTGAAAGGCCGCTGTGCACCGGTGACTATAAGTGGTTCACACATCAGGAGGTCACTGGTCTACAATAGGAGCTGGTTATGTTGCTAAAATGACATGAAAAATGTGCTCAGTGATACATCGTCCCTAAAACAGAGAGAAAAACTGGGCACACACATCACATGAAACACTATCCATCATTTACAAAGGAAATCTATGACTGTTAAAAATAAGGGAGGACGGCGTTAAAGGTGTCAAATTCACACCTACTACAGATGACTTCATAATTCATTTAATGACCCTCACCTCTACACGTGTTCCAATTTACAATTCACCCTGGCTCGGAGATGAATATTCCCATTAGCCAATCTGCCACTGAATTAAATTAACTGTCTGAGAATGCGAGCAGAGCTGTCTGATAGCAGACAGGCTTAAAATGAGCCGAACATTGTTAAAAATCAGTTAAGGACACAAAATATGAACGTTTCAGATTTTTACAGAGCCATTAGCAGTATCTAAAAAGACACTGTGGTAGACGGCAATGTACGCTGCCAACACTCCACGCACGCATACATGTGTCAGACACAGCAGTCTGACACGTAGCCTTTCACAGTCAGCACATTTTGTGTCACTCACTGCGGTCTAACAAGGGACCAGTTGAAAAAGCAGAAGCCTTTTTCTGCACCTGGAGGCAGTCCTTGGGTTTGGGTTCACACTTTATAAATGGAAAAAAAAATGCAACTCAGGCACTGCTAAATTTTGTCTTTTGCTGATATATCATGGCACTTTTGTGAGAACCTGGTGCAGCAGAACCTGAGATATCGTCTCCTTTGGATTCTTTTTCTTTGTCAAAACCTGACATCTACGTTACCCACAATGGCACAGTTTTAACAGCTTGGTTGCATATTCAGATGTGTTATGCTGGTAGCACCAAGCAGCAGCACCCTCTGGGGCTGAAAAATGAAAATAACATGAAGTACAAAATCCGGCAGTTTGTTGGTGAAGTTTCTCAGTCATCCAGGTCGTGGTAATCCTAAGTGCTATATTGTAGGCAACTGGATATACTTGAGTTTCTTGAAGACGTTTCACCTCTCATCCAAGACACTTCTTCATTTCTAACGGACTCTTGTGGAGTCGTAAGCATTGAACCCTGTGTGGGTGGGTCACGAGAGGTGAAACGTCTTCAAGAACCTCAAGCAAGTCCAGTTGCCTACAATATAGCACTTAAGAAAAACCTCAGTTCATTGAAGAACCACTTGAGGTTGGTTCCAGTAGTGAGTCAGTCCTTATTGACCCCTATGTTAACATGTTCAACTTTACAGCAGAAATAAACATGTTTACAGCCTGTATTAAAACAGGCCCCAGCGCTATTTTTCCTCCTTCATGACAATTGTACTCCCTAGATTATGCACAATCAAGGATGTGGCTGCTTTGAGTGACAGGCTGTCTGCAAGGTGTCACCTCAGGCTCTCCGTTAGCTCCACTGTCTGGTCCAAATATGCTCAGGTCACTTCTGTTTCAAAAAATCCTTAGATGGCAAAGACCAAAACGCCAAATTTGAGGAAAGAAACAGGAGTCTACAAACCAATGGGTAATGTCACGGTGGCTATGTCCAAATCTTAAGCCCAGTTCAGGCCAAAGATTCTCAACGAGATGAGCTGACTGGAGAGATGAGCAACTACTTGCAAAGCGCTGCTCTGCAACATTCTAAAACCTGAAAGTTCACACCAATGCAACTACATGAGACAGAGTACCATCTCTATGCAACAACTCTCTGTACATCTGTTCTGATTTCCATCTTTCCAGGCTTATTTTGTGGCTGAATATAATTTGTAGCTTCTTAAAATATGAATGAGGACAGTGATAGTCAGATACTGGCTACAGCTGCATTTGTAGTGGTGATGAAATGGCAAAAAACAGAAGCAAAAAACAAGCATCAGATGGACTGTATTCATAATAAATATGCCACAATAATATAAATAACCGGCACTAATTAATCAGTCAATGAGAATGTGTGTGAGGGAGGATAAGCACACAGCAAGAGGCAGCAGTGACCCACCGTCCAACACCAGCACACCGTGAGGACAGAAACAGAGGGTGCAGCACCTGCCACAGCAAGGAAACATGCCATCTGTGGTCATTTTGACTGGACCAGTAGACTTCACTGCAAGTCCATTGGCTGTAGAAGCAGGTGATGAGTCATACGTTCTAAAACCAGACACTGCTGATTTGACCGGCTGAGTTGCAGGTGACACCATCAGCCGGCTTGAGTCGAGCTCAGACTGGCCAGTTCATACCACTGCAATTTTTTTCTGCAATGCTCTAAAGCTGTTTTGTCTTGTTGTGAATCTTGGTCTGAACTGGGCTTTACACTGTCTATGGTAGCAGCTAACATAACCTGGAGTTGCTAGCCTCAGCCAGAGGAGCAGGCTACAGAGGTCTGGTAAGCTCACCTCTTTCTAACTCCTCCAGATTTTTACATTGTCAAACTTGTAGCCCTCAGCCCCAGTGGACTCTGACACAAGTGACATCACCTGAGGCAATTTATCAGACTTTGCTCAGCTCTCTCTGGAACCACACAAGGCTTTTATACAACAATTCAGTACATGGAAAAAAAAGTCTGTTTACAAGACCTCTGATGTGAAAAATCAGTCCATTATTACTGAAATCAGTATCTGAATAAATCGTTGGCATGAAATTGGCCTTACAGCCTCTGAATCATCGTTCACAATTTGGTGAAAGTAGGTGTTCCAAAGGTTCACGATTTGAGAGGTGGTAAGTAACACAGTTCACATTCAAAATACACCACACACTCAATGATGTCATGATCTGAACCTCTGGCCTTCACCAAGTGAACCAGCTTCCACCTACGAGAAGCAGATATTTTCAAATCTATTGTCTCACAGTGAAAAATGACACTCTTTCCTTTCTTTTAATTCTTACTGGGATGCAAATCATCACATCTATTGATGCTGCAAATAGACTGTAGTGCTCCCAGGTGTTTGTAGATATTCGTTGTGGGGTGCATATATGAAATTCATTCATTATACTGGCTATTTGATCATTCATCTGTGCTAGATTTTTCACTCACTGGTGAAAGAGACACTTCTCACATCTGGCACGCAAGAAATTGGCTCAAAACTCTGAGTGGCTGCTCTCATTAGAAAATAATTAATAGTTACAGTTTTAAATGGTGTGTGAGGCTGTAAATATTCTACAGCATTCTGTAAACAAACTGCTTGCATATGCGTTTTAGGATGCAGTGACATTTAAAAGTTGTAGCAAGGACAGCTCACCCCAAAATCCAAAATACAGATTTTTCCTCTTGCATGTAGTGCTATTTATCAATAAAAGTCTATTCCCAATTAAACACCCAGTCTCTTTAATGAGCCTGGTGTAGCTACACATTTAAATAAAGGCCTGTCTCAATCAGACGCTCGGTCTGGCTGTCAAACAGTTCATTTTTATAGAAGTTCTTCAGATTGCTGGCAACTCATTTGAGTTGAGGATGTTAGCTGTTCATATCACACAAATAGAAATGTTTAAACTTTTGTCAATATAGAGATGCTACACATTGTTAGCTCCGTTTATTTCATTTTATTAAAACAATGAGCATCAGATTTCAGATTTACCAGCATGACGAAAAAACAAATGTTGACTCGTCACTGACTATCATAAAATCAGTGTGTCCATTCCTCAATTACCTGGTAAGTTGTTTATATTCCTTTAGTCAGTAAGAAAATAATAATCAAACAAATTAATGAATAAAAATGAATCCAAGTTGTGAGTATTGCTTAAACAGGTTAAAAAAGTGGTGTTGTGTCTGATGTCAAGTGCCGTTATCCTTGGGTGCCCTGAAACAAGTGTCATAACATTACACGTAATTAATATGTTATTCGAAGCCTAATTTTTATTCAAGTTATTTTAATAATGGTTCAAATAAACAATTTGATCATGTTTTCCCATCTTTGCTGAGCAACAGTTTTGTGTAAAAGGAATTA